CCCCAAAACCCCAAAACCCCAAAACCCCTAGAGATAATAAGAATTGTTAAAATAGATTTTAATTTAATTAATTAAAAAAATTATGTCAAAATATTAAATATTTTATGATGATTCAGATGAAGACTCAGGTAAATTGAATAAGTATAACCAGAATTCAGAAGATTAGTGGGGCATTCAGGACTTTATATTTTAACCATTTGGAGTAGGAGATACAGAAATATTCATTGATGAATTTGATGACATTCAAAGTTTTTTAAATTGTAAAAGTCTCATGAGAAAAATCACTAACCTTACCAGATTTTCCTAGCAATACGCATAGATGTAATAGAATTTAGTAATTGAATAAGATGATGATTTTCAGCCTTATCAAGAGTCATAGATGCCTCCTTCTTTAATTATGAAGGAGTTCCAAAACTAGTCCTAGAGTATCATAATTGTCAATGATCCTAACAATTCAATGATAAATTATATGGATAGCACTGGTATTTAAGATAGAAATGATTCATAAAGTGTAGCGATAGAATTACCTTAATTACCTTAGATCATGAGTAGAAAAGATGATAGACCAATTACTGATAACAAAAACAGACATTAAAAAATGAAGTTTGATCATCTAAGTCATTAAAGATTGGAGCGTATTCTTAAGATTAGGAACAAAGCAAAGTAGAATCTAAAATAATAGCACATCTATATTAGTTTTGAAAGAAATCAAGATGCAATTAATTATTCCCAAATAACTGATTAAGAAAAATCCATTGAGATGCCTAAAATAGAGGAAAAACGGTAGCTTTAAAAATCTCCTGATCTTGTGAGCAATAAATTTCCTTTGAATCAGATGAAAAACTAAAGTAATTGTTCATTTATTACTGAAAATGATGCTGGAATCAGCTAGAGAGCCTTATTTTATGGAAGAAGATATAATAATTCTCTATTTAGAAATGATAATAAGCAGATCACTCCTCAGACTAATAAATAGATTACTATCTCAGATAATATACAAAGACCTTCAAGAACGGAACTGTCTTATCTCGATAAATACAGTAACACAATGGAAAAACTTTAATAGATATATAGACATAAAAATACTAAAGATGTATTGGGATCGTATTCATGTTCTTAATAATAGATTAATGAAAGAAATTGCTAGTAAGTTATGAAATCCTTTGATTAATTCAGTCAGAGAAGAGGTCTAGTCAATAATGTCAAGAATGTATAAGAAAAATTTCAGTATGAAAAAATTCTTAATTAAATCAACAGCATTCGAAATGAGTCTAAATAAGTATATCAATTAAACTAGAATAGGAAATTGGGAACTGAAAGAACATACTAAAAGAATAACAATTTTTTCATCAACAAACAATAGCTTTTTACAAATAGAAGGTAGATTGAAGAGAGTGGAACAAGAAATCTTCCTAATATTGACTATTGATAATATCTAAGTATAGATTATAAGTAAGAATTATTTATTCATTTAGTAAGACACTTTGATTTCATAATTATGAAGATTCTCGGGGTTTTGGGGTTTTGGGG